TTTAGATAGCACTGTTATTTTTATATCTATTAAAAGCGCAATCAGTTTTCAACAGAATTTGTGAAAAAGCTTCTCCGGTATTGTGGCTGGTAGTTTCATTTGCAAGTAATGAAAATGGGACATTTTTTTTGTTGTGTTTTTTTTTTTCTCTAGTTTTTGTGAGGAAATGATTGCATTTCCTTACGTTATTAGATAAAACCTAAATACATTACACTTTCAACAAACTATTTTATAATTTAAGATTTAAAGGTCATACATTGTTTTTGAGCAGGCAGACCATTGCTGTAGAGTTGAAGTGTAGGTCAGGTTTCATTTTTAAAATGCCTTTGGACAGATCTTTTCCTGATAGTTGGAGAAATGGTCTCTGAGGGCCAGCTGGATTCAGAGTCCAGTGATATCACATGGAGTAGTAACCACTGGGAAAGGTCCCCTTCTCCTTGGTGCAGCTGGCTGTGTCAAAATCTGCTCTTCAGTTCTGCATACATTTATTATCTATAGATAAAGGAGATGTTAAAAGAGTGAATTTTTCTTGGTTAAGATATGCATTATGTTTGGGGTGTCCAAGGGACTTAATTCGGGTAAGCGTTCAACCCTTGATCTCAGCTCAGGTTTTGATCTCAGGGTCATGAGTTCAAGCCACGTAATGGGCTCTGCACTGGGCAAGAATCCTACTTACAAAAAAAGAAATGTATTCTATTAAGATAACAGGTGAATAAACAGCAGTATATTCTGGCCTGAAGTAGTCAGCGATTTGCATAAATGCAGGCACCCACCAGACCGCAGGAAGCCTGCCCTTTAATGCTTTTCCTCACAAAATGAAAAATGTTGCTGCTTTTAAAATTTGTTTTTGAACTATAAACTATACCTGTAGTTTCATTTTATTTCTAATGTATTATGTTTGGTCACTATTTTGGGACCCTTTTGTAGTATTACCCTCGACACGGATGATATTGTTCAACAGTGTTGCATGTCGTGGCAGGGATTCTGTGTTAGAGAACAAATGAAATGATGTCCAGCTTAGATCACCGTCTGTAACTCAAGTCCTTTCTCTAATCAGTTCTTGGATGGTATAACTTTTTCAGTTATCACAAATTTCACAAAGGGGTATACAACTCTATCTTCAGAAATAAATGTCTTTCGATGTAACTACTAGTTCTTATTGGAATATCCATGGAATAAAATCTATGCGTGACCTTTTAAAAATGCATGATTACCTAGAATGCTAAAATCTTGCTATTTAAAAATTATTTTATTTTAAAATTAGAAAACAAAATGAAATGCTATTTGTGTCAATCCAAGAAGAGTTTTGCTAGCCCATCACTGGCAAAAACATGAAATCGTATTTCTGATTGCTTGTTCTTGAAGCAAACTTCAACAGACATTTCTGGGGTCTTATTGTTAACACCCCAGCAAACTCAGAGACCAGTGATACCCGCTGTGGACACGGTGGATGCATTGGGAAATTTAACTCCTAGTCCTTGTGCTGCTAATCAGGTCTTAATAAAACCTGTTCAGGATTGTAGTGGTAATCCAGGGCCCCCATACAATTTTAGTATCATCGATTCAGCTTGTTTCCTTCTGACTTCCAAAAGCAGTTATTTTCCCTGAAATTCGATAAAATGGTCTATAGAGAAAAGTAAATAGCTGGTTATTGTCTTGAGCTCCTTTTCTAATTAGCACACTAAAGTCAAATCATTGCTATAACCAACTGGTAAATCTAGGTGTATGAGAGTGCCTTGTACTATTCTTGAATCTTTCCTGTACTTTTGAAATCCTATCAAAATGTGAAGAGAAAAAGCTACCATTGATCTGCCTGGGGATTATGAAAGAGGGAGTGAAAAGATGTTGGAACTAGAAAATTCTGGGGTGCCTGGGTGGCTCAGTTGGTTAAGCTTATGACTTCAGCTCAGGTCATGATCTCACGGTTCTTGAGTTTGAGCCCCGCATCAGGCTATCCGCACAGAACCTGCTTTGGATCCTCTGTCCCCTTCTCTCTCTGCCCCTCCCCTCCTCGTGCTCTCTCTCTCTCAAAAATAAATAAACATTAAAATAAAATAAAATAAAATAAAATAAAATAAAATAAAATAAAATA